GTGGTGGGGGAAACCATGGCCCCCCCCCGGGGAGCAATTTTCCCCATCAGGGCAGGGCAAAGGGCGGGGGGCCAAAGCCTCCCAGAACAAAGCATTTTGAAGAAGCGTTCAAGCCAACGACCAGGGAAATCCCGCTGGAGCAACCCATGGGCCAACCATGTGTGGGGAGCCAAGAAAGCCACGTGCTGGGAAAATGAACTTCCTGGGAAGCCAACCGTGGAAGCCCAAGGGCTTTGCACACCCCATCTCCACCCCTTCAAGCTCGGGTCCCAGGCAGCACCGACTGACCACGAACCTGTGGTGCTAGCGCCATGGCTGCCAATCATTCACTCCCCCGCCCCCGGGAAACGGCACCCAGATTGCTCCCCAGGAGGCCCCCCCGAGACCTAGTGACTAGGTGACAGGCTTTCGGTCACACAGACGTGCTGGTGGCACGGGCAGGGGACTCCCAAGGACTTGGAAGGATGACCTCTTTCCCTCCATGCCTCCTTCTCTGACATCAAATCTCGGATGAACTGAACACTGTTAAACGAGTACACAGACTGATTGTAACCTTGCACCATCACGGAGAAGCTTTCTATCTGACGGGACTCAGTGAGAACAAAAAGGTAAGCAATCGCACTGATTTGCTCACGGGCACCTCAGAACCTTGCACGCCGTGAGTGTGTGTCCCTTGGCCCTTCCTCCCCCCACAGCCAGAGAGGTGGGGGTCAGACCCTGACGGGAGACGGAGCAGGGACTAATGCGTCTGAGTTTATTATATAGGTTCCAACAAGGGGTCTGTGTTTGTTTAGCACCGACGGCCTCTGAGAGCCAGTGACAAGTCAGAAGACATTTCTGCCTGAAGCCTCGGGGATGAGTGACATGACGCTGCTGAAAGTCCTGCTGCTGTGAACGAGAAGGCTGCCCCCCCCCTCCCATGCCCCCCTTACTGCTGGTGCTGGTTTTAAAGGGACTGTCAGCACACCCACATGCAGGTATTCAGGAATATGGCTTTAACATTTAAGGCGCCTTAATACCTAGTCTTTCCAAGCATTTTTATCAGATGACATGAATTCACCGCTATTACTTTTTCAAAAGAGTAAGAAAAAAAAGTCAGTAAAGTCATCAGAATACGTCCCCCTCTCCCTACCCCACTCCACTATTGAGGGAAACGCTAATCATAGCTCATAAAGAAACACACCCCAAGATCTTAGGCAACATTCTCCTGATGGAGCAAAAATGGTCCTTCAGAAAAATCAATCGAGCGAGCGTCCAAGAACTCGGACAGAATGGAGACGGCTCAAGGCACACACGTGTCACTGCTTCAGGGAGAAGACCTTTCCCTGCAGGGCGGGGGTGGGGGGGGCGGGTGCTGCACGGCCGTCACAGCCTAGTGCAGTCCTGAGGGGGCTCGAGAGAATGTTTACTTTTGATTTAGTCTGAAATGCAGATCATTTGTCCACGAACAGGCCACTGGCTTCTGTTGGTCTTAACTGTCAGTTATAATCACTTTAAGCCTGAATGTTTATAATAAAAAAGGTAAAAGGCCTCATTCATGTCAGGCATAAAGTTTTCTTTTAAAAATACATGGAAAACCTAAAAAATCAGATCTGAAATGTTGTATATTACACTCTGAGATCTTCTCAGTTTTATCAGATTTTATTTTATTTTTGTTGCTGTTAATACTCACCTGAGGACATTTTCCCATTGATTTTTAGAGACAGTGGAAGGGAGGGGTAGGGACAGAGAGAAACATCGATGTGAGAGAAACACATCGATTGGTCGCCCCTCCTGTATGCTCCCAACCAGGGTCAGGGATCGAGCCGACAATGGAGGCATGTGCCCTTGACTGGAATTGAACCCAGGACCCTTCAGTCCATGGGCCGACGCTCTACCCACTGAGCAACACCAGCTAGGGCTGGATTTTAAAGTGTTTTTGTTTGGTCTCTAGGACTAGAGGTCTTAGTGGCATATTCATGTCTGCTCATTAGAAAGCTAAATCCAATTAGGAAAACTATCAACCCCCCTGAACAGCACCCGAAACCCGACTTTGCCTTAAAGAAGAGCATGCGGGGCAACAGCTGCGTCGCCTGTAGGGCACCCCCCAAACCTGGATGTTAAACCACGTCCGTCCCAGGCCTTGCTGGGCCCCCACGCGCAGCTGGGACAGCTCCTCCCCGTTGGCTCCTGGCTTGCTTGCTGTCGTCCCCTGGTCCCTGGATCCCTGGCTTGCTGACATCCACCCTCACTCCTTCAGGGCGGGGACCTTCTGGACTGCTCTCCTCGCTTCTTGGATTTGGGCCTGTTCACTCCTTTGGTCTTGGAACCCGAGGCATCTGTGTGACCCTCCCATTGAGCCCGGACCCCAGAGAACTCCCCTCGGAGGTGCCCAGGTGGGGTGGTGGGTGAAGTCACTGATTCTCCCAGCGATGACTATGAGCTTCCCTGCTCCAGGAGAAGTGAGCCGCGGCTGCGGGCGCTTAGTACCGGGTTTTGTGGAAAGTGAACCGTACGCTCTGAGGAGGTGGGAGGAAGGAGCCCGGGGTGCTGGCAGGTGCGGTCCTGGTCGGGAGCCTCAGGGCAGGGCTGCCTCTCGGTGGGCGTCTGTACCTCTGTAGCTTCAGCTTCCTCATCGTCCCTTCAACAGCCACGGGCTCTGGGCTGGTTTTGCCTTGTTCTGCCGATATTTGGGGCCTCTCTCATCTTTGGGGTTTGGCCGTGAGGCTGAAGGAGCTCCGCCAAAGGCTCCGCCGTCCTGCCAAGGAAGGCACCTGCTCCCACTGGGCGAGTAACCGAGGAAACGGTCACGTGGGGGCTGCCTGGTGACGCCCCCCCACCCTCCCATCCTGTCTACAGAGTAAACAGGAGCCCCCCTACTTTTAATAATCAGGTGACGCCACTCGCCTGCTTCGTCTCCTCCGCTGGCTCCCCGAACGTCTGATCTGTCCTCGCCTGGGCCCTCTCCTGACTCCCTCTCTGCACCTCCTTCCTGCGCACCAGGTCGGGCGCTGCCTCCTGTGTCTGGGGCGCCCCACTGCAGACGTGGGGGCGCCGGCAGCCCCTCTCCTGCTCGCGGGAGCCGGGTGCCCAGGGTTTTCCCTGACTGACTCCATCTCAGCTTCAGGGCCGCCTCCCAGGGGGGCCGCCCCTGCCCACTCCACCTACAGAACAAACCGCGGTCGGTAGCTCACACCTTCCTTGTACATTTATCGTCTCATTGGAACCTCCTAACCACCTGGGCGGCACTAGCATCACCACTACATCCACCTCAAAACCCAGCTAAAGCCAGTCCTCCTGTCTTCACGCTTTTCTGCGTGATGTCGTTTTCTTCTTCGTTTACTCCTTTCACAACTCTAAATGTTGCAACCCCTCCTGTCTTTCAAGGCCCAGACTGAATTTTAGTTGCTCCAGAAAACAGTTCATTCCTTCAACTAAGCTGACCTCTCCCCTCTGACCTCCATCAGCGATTCTGCTCTAACCTGGCAGTGTGCTCGGCCCGTGTACCTCAGCCTCCGCAGCGCTCTCCGTCTCACACCACGGTCTCCGTCTATGTAACTCTTCCCTTTCTAGCTTACAAGGTCCCGAGGACAGGAGAGATGTCTGAGTCATTTCTGGGTTCTCCACGCCTAGCTCAGGGCCTGGCACAGAGAAGTGCTGCATAAATATTTATTTAATGAATGAATGAATAATTCAGGCAGGCGGGGGGACAGTTTACCTTTGCCTGAACAAGCGGCTTTCAAGCACCCTTAACACTCGAGAGGCACTCATTTGTCCCCACAGAATTAACGGGCTGACGTAGAGATCACCCCTATCTGTTTACGACAGGTTTCCAGGGACCTTGGGTAGAACCCACTTTGTTACTGTAGTTGATGGCTATGAAGATGGAAACCACAAATACATGTAACGACAAGCATCTTTTTGTGTGAAAACATTCCAGAGTTCAGCACAGTCTTCACCAGCAATTAGACCTGGCCGGGAGCAGGGCTGTGCCTCCGGACCGAGGACCCACTGCCCCCGCCCCTCGCTGTGGAGCCCCTGCCGCTGAGTCTGGAAAGCCTGCTGACTGAGTGGAGGCCGTGTTGGCCGCAATTCACAGTCGCTCCGGACTGTTCTGGTCCTGCCAGCTGGGCTCAGGGGCCAGCACCTGAGGGCCTCAGTGAGCACTGCTGGGATCTGAAAACCATCCTTTTCTCTTGGACCGAGAATGGAAAATTGATAACAGTGAAGGCCAAATAGGTGCTTCTGGAAGCCCTCTTACAGACGCTGGGTTTTGTTAAGTGACAAGGAAGGGCAGTTTGTGAACAACTCACTAGTGGAATTCTGGCGTAACCCTCACATAAAACCAGTCCTTTTACTAGAAGATCACAATCTCAGCTTCTGCTTCAATGCAAGTTCATTGTTCAGCACCGAGCAGTGCTTTTCTCCCCCCCGGAGCCAGGATTAGCCGTGCACATTCTCACACCCAAGTGGTCTCCCCGAGAGCCAGGCAGAAATTAGGAGATTAAGGGCACAATGGCAGCAGCTCAGGCCCACCTGCTAATCGCCCTCCCACAGGCGGCCACCAGCAGACCCAGGCCTGTGCTCTCATGCGGGCACTTAATTATCTCAGGGCGGGCGCCGTGCAGGAGGCAGGCTCGGGGCCTCTGGCTCCTCTTTGTCTCTGATTCCTGCTGGGCTTTAAGGTCACACCTTCCTGGACGCTGCGGGGCTCCTGCAGCCCAAAGAGGCGCTGGGGCACGACTCCCACGTCACCGCAGCCACACTCGCTTCTGACACGGCTGTGACCTCGCGGACACTCTGAGTCACACACGTAACAAGTGCTTTCAACAGGCTGCTGCAGTTTACAGTTTAGAAACAGAATTTCCACAAAGAGGGGAAGTAGAATGACATGGTCTGTAAGTATTAGAGGTACTGGAGGTGCCAGAAAACTCGGGGGATTAAAGGAGGGGAGGAGAACAGCAACTAGGGGTCACTGCTAAGAAGAAAATTATATTGGGTAAAATGGATTAAGAATTCTTAAAAACAACCAAGAGTTAATCACTAATTTATTTAAAAATCCAGTTGCATTAAGTACATCGAAACAATTGTACTTCTCTCTGCACGTGCGCACACGCACAGACACATACACTTGGGTTTTACATATAAACTTACACACAGACTTCAGTCTGCTGGGACAACCCTTAGGCATGTCTAGGAGGCCTCCATGGAAAACGCTTACACTGCCTAAGCTGGGACTATCCCATCTACCACTCAAAAATTTCAAGTCAGACCCTTGAGTCATTCTGGATCCCTCCCTTCCGTCCTCCTCCCTCGTCCTCCAAGCCAGGCACATCCCTCCCACTCACTCTGTCCCCACAGGCCCCCCTAGTCCTGCCCCCGCTAGGCTCCCGCCACCCGGTTCCTCGTGCCCTTTTCAGGGCCGGGCGTTTTGTAACAGAAATGTGGTCCTGTCGCCCCTCGAAGACAATCCAATCCCCAGGCGTCCACACCTCCCGTCAGTCTCCCTCTCGGCCGCCCAGAGCTCCCCTGTGTGGGGCTCATCTAGTACCTCACCTGCCACTCTCCTCAGTGTCCGTTTGGTGCCGCTCCCTCAAACTGAGACCGTGCTGTGCACACAGAAGAGCCAGGGCCAGGAGGGTCCCCTGGGGGAAGGGACGGCATAGGGGCGAGTGGGTGGCACACAGCCTCTGTGTGGTGTGTGGGCACCTGCTCTCTCCGGTCACAGACCCACAAACAGCACTCCCTGTGTGCCCACCGGCTCAGGAAGGGAACAACTAATGGAACGCTGGCCGCAGGCCGTGCATGGCCCCCGACCCTCAGTCTTCATCTTCATGGACATGTGACTGGGTGGGTGAGACTAAGGAAGAATAGGTGGCTTAGGGGTCCTACGCACAACACAAAGAATGTGGAGAAGGTTCATTTTAGAAAAAAATTCTGTCTTTTAAGATATTCTGAATATAGTCAGTGGCATTCTGCGTACACTGAATATGGATGGATAATATTTCTTTAAATGTGTAGACTTTAGAAGTTTCAATAATTAGTTTTATTCTTTTTTATATGTTTTTATTGATTTCAGAGAGAGGAAGGGAGAGGGAGAGAGAGAGAAACATCCATGATTAAGAGAGAATCATGGATTGGCTGCCTCCTACATGCCCCCCACTGGGGATGGAGCCCGCAACCCAGGCATGTGCCCTGACCGGGAATTGAACTATGACCTTCTAGTTCACAGGTCGACGCTCAACCACTGAGCCCACCGGCTGGGGCAATAACTAGTTTTATTCTTGAAAAACCCCTAAAAAATGATTTGTATGCAGTGCTGCTTGTAATTTAATTGTCAGGAAATTATTTTACTGAAGATCCTCCGTATCCCGGAGGCGAGTCCCACGGCATCGGAAACGCTGAGTCGCCCCTGCGGTGGGGTCATCGGCCTCCCGGAGGACAGTGCACACCCGCTACAGTCACACCCGTGCGTCACGTGTGACTTCAGGGAGCTACTGATTTTGGACGGTCCTCCCCTTGTTCACGGGGATCCCGTGGAATACGGGGCGAAGGGGAGAATAAACACCCCCAGTGGCAGTGAACACGGGCGGCACCCCAAGGCCCTGCCTGATCGGGGCGGGGCTGTGTCGCTGACGCAAGGACGCACAGAACCGCCTGACTCCTCTGGCTCCGGCTGGCCTGTCAGGTCTTTCCCATCGGCGAGTCAAGTTTATGACGCCAACAAGGAAAACAGACTCTGACAGGAGGCTCAGCCAATTTCCATACGGGAACCAATAAGGGCAGAGGCAGGACCACAAAGAAGAGGCCACAACGACCACCTGCCTCCCTAGGAAATGACCCCAAATTCCCAAAATTTAAGAGACGTTTCACAATTTCAGTCCAGACGGACCTCAGGAGGCACCTTACCTTCCGGTGAGAGCCCAGCACAGCGTGCAGGCGCCCTGCAAGAGGCCGGCCGCGTGCTGCAGAAGCGAGGCCAGCCTGGGGTTCTCGTCCACCGGGCCCTGCACGGACAGGAAGCAGCCGCACAGCTTGTGGATCAGGCCGATGCTCACCACGTAGCTGCAAGTGCAGAGAAGCGTCATCACCGGCACAGGCTGGCTGCACCTCCCTTCTAGACCCATCTGACCAAACAGAAGCAAACAAGCTTCTCAAACAAGGTCCTCAAACAAGCAAGCACAACACACGTTTGAGTAAAACTGCTCAAGTGACAACTTCTTGAAGAATTAGTCCTGAGGAATGAGCTATTTCTGTAAGTGGTTCTCTTCTCTCTGAGTTATTCTAACACTGGTCTTCCAGGAAGATGACTGAACGGGATCCCCTGACCACCCGTGGGGTCTGGAGCCTGACAATAGCTGGAATGCTGTGTGATGACCTCTGCACTCCTGAGGTCAGTATTTCCTAAACTCCGATGCTGCCCACAGCCCCCTGTTCAAACGGAAACCTCTACTGCCAACTGTAGGCTCCCTGTTTAAAACCCTGACACTATGAGGTACAGAACCAACAGTGAGAGGCTCACTGCTTTCTGCTCTGAAAAGTGCCAGCCCTAAGAGCTGACAGTTAAGGAGGCACCGTCATCTTTCCAGTCCACTAGTTTCCAGAGCTGCTCATCACAGTGGAAGAACAGCAGCAGCTGTTGTAAGAGTCCTCAAAGCAGCAATCATTGAAAATAACATGAAAGACTATAATGATCTAAAGACTTGTAGATCACCTTAGCTTAGATGTTTTATTCTGACTCAGTGCTACTGCATTTACATGTATGAAAGGACAGGACTACGCATGTAGCCATTCTGAACATCAACACGCTAACTTCCAGGGATGCGTGTGCAGGAGTCGATGCGTCTGCTCCTAAGTGCATGCCCGTCCCCTCTGGGTAAGGAGGCGAGTCTGAGGAATCACTCATGTTTGGAGCCTCTTCCGAGTTCACAGAAGGTGCAAGATCCTGGATGCCCGCCCTTTCCTGCGACACCAGGAGTGTGTTCCCCAGGCTACGAGCAGCGGCGTGTGCCGACACCGGGAAGCCCTGTCCTCTTCCAATGAGGGAAACGCACAGGCGGCCAGGCAGGCACGGAGGGTCGTACGACAATCACATCTAACGGAATCAAACCTGTATTCGCACAGAACTTCCCGAGTTAGAAAGTGTGTTTGCATGACCATCAGTGAACTGTCTTCACAGCCCACAGGGAGCGGGCAGGGACCGCCTGCTTCCCCTGTGTGTATCCTGGAAAGACAGGCCCATGGACATGCCCAGCGTGTCCCCCCTCCGCCCCCGGGGTCGGGGGCTGTTAGTGTTATGCCTCCTGCAGAGCCTGTGCCCCAGGACAGGCTGAGCATCGTCTCTGTGGCAGCGGGGGAGGTCCCGGGGGGCCCATGACCTGTGGGGGACCCCTCAGCATCTTCGGGGAAGCTGGCTATGACCACGGGAAGAATCTCTCTCCACTGGGCTATCGGCCAAGAGAGATGGGAGTCTGGGCTTGCTGGTGGCCCCGTACTAGTTACATGCAGAACCCACGCTGACAGAAACAAGTAGAGACAGAAGAAAGAAAAGAGGCTCAGGTCTGTAGATTCAGTACAATCCCTCAGCGAAAATTCCAATGGCATTTCTTACAGAAACAGCAAAAGCAATTGCATGGAACCACAAAACACACCAAATAGCAAAGCAGTCCTGACAAACAAGCAGAGCTGGAGGTGTTGCACGCTGAGTCCCACTCTATTACAAGCTACAGCAATGAAAGCAGGGTGGTCCTGGCATGAAGACAGGCCCATGGGCATGAGCATCATGGTAGAGTGTCCCCTTCCATTTACAGCTGGTACGTCACCTATTAGCCAACAAGGTTCCCCTGATCAGCACTGCACACGGTGGTACCTATGAAGGCAGGTGTATTAAACTCGGAGGGGAGGGGAGGCGGGGCAGGGAGGACAGGAACGGTGCACACAGCTCGGAGGCCTGGCTGCCAGGGCCAAGGAGGTAGCCAAGGAGGAGTTTGGAGCAGCCACCACTCTGACCCAATGGAGGGTGGGGGCAGCAGCAGAGTAGGAGCCGGAGCTTCCGGCTTCCCGGTCAGAGCACAGCAGAGCCAATGGCCACAGGGAATGGGGTAGCAGGGGGTCAGTGGTGGGGGGTCCACCAACCCAGACGTCCCCTGCCCTGGTCGTGGTGGTGGTGCTCTGAGAGCCAAGCACCCGACACAGCAGAGGCAACCACCCCGCTCCCTGCTCCCTGAACCCAGGCTACCACTCCCTAACCCACAGTCATTCCCCCCCACTCCCTCCTCGTGCAAGTAGCTCAGGTAAGAGAAAACAAAAACTTGGGCTATAGCTCCATCTACTGGAAAACAAAAGAAGGACTCGTAATTATCAACCTGCTCAATTGTTAGAGTCAGAACAATGCCTTTCTGAGCATTTCCTCACCTACAGGGCTGCAAAGCCTCCTCCACTCAATACCTTACACAAATGGGAGCTCCATAAATGGTAGCTGTTGTGACTGTTTAAGTCTGCACCAAATTTATAGACAGAGATGATCTGGGATAGAAGGATTCTCAAGGAATTCTCTGAGTTGAAAAGAGCTGATAGCAAGAAAGTTATAAAACCTGGACACAACATATTCATATATGAAAATATCTAAATAGCAAGAATGACAGATGAGCACCAGCTACAGTCCTTTTCATTAACAAGTGCTCCTTCTCTCTACACAATGTCGCGTATTCTCCATCAGGAATGAGAGGATGGTGTTGTGAGAACCACTGCCATCACATGGGCCCTGAGATTTAAATTACCTTAACTTTTTTTTTTTAAACAAAGAAGAAAGTATTTTAAAATCTAGCCATTTTACCTGATGAGGTCCTGAACGCGACTGTTAAAGGCATCACCTGGTGAGGGTCTGTTTTTCGTTTCCTCCGTCGATGTCTTTGGTGTAGCTGGCCGGCTGTTTCCATCCGGTCGACTGGCAATCAGGCAGCCAAAGACCATAGAACTGACTTTGAGAAGTCCAGCTGTCAAACCTTCAAAAACTTGCTTATTTGTATTTCTCCCCAAAATAGCATTATTCTCATCTGGAACATAAACCTAGAAGGAAATAAATACAGTAATTATGTTTAAGTAAAACCACCAAAAATGGACAGAGATGATGTGGAAAATTTCTGGAATCATAAATAATTTTGAAATTCTAGAGTTGGCTATCTGAATGTGCGAGCGTTGGTTGTGAAGTCAGACTGCTGAGTTCAAATCTCAGCTTTGCCCTTGCTAGCTGCATGACCTTGAGCAGGTCTACCTCCAACCTTCAGTTTTCTCATTTGTAAAACAGGGTAACAACAGCTTCTTTTTTTTTTTTTTTAAATCCTCACTTGAGGATATTTTTTCCATTGATTTTTAGAGAAAGTGGAAGGGAGAGGGGAAACACTGGGAGAAATATTGATGTGAGAGAAACACATCGATTGGTTGCCTCCTGCACAAGCCCTGACCAGGCCTCAGGTTGGGGAGGAGCCTGCAACCCAGGTACATGCCCTTGACCGGAATCGAACCTGGGACCCTTCAGTCCGCAGGCCGATGCTCCATCTCTGAGCCACAGCGGCCAGGGCTAATTTACTATTTCATTGGGGCTTTCAGCCCAATGTTATAAACACCATTTTGGCAGTTTCTCATAAAGTAAACACAAATTGAAAAGCTTCTCTGACAACCTGGCAGTCAGACAAAGACCCTGCGGCTCAGGCTGGTCAGGTCTGGGGTGAGTCAGAGCCCTGGGCTGCCCTTCCCTTTCTCGTCATGATTCCTGTTTCCAACCGCCTCAGTCAGTCTCACATCAACTCGATCACATCATCATGGTTTTCCACATCTTCTTTTTTTTTTTTCCCTAATTTACTCACTTAGTATTGATCCTTACTGCTGAGAATGGAGTTTTCTTTTGCTTATTTCATCCAGGAAAAAAATTCAAAAGTGCCTGAATTAATTCAAGGAGGGGCTTATCTTTAGTGAGACTAAAAGTTCTTTCTAATCTTCAAAACGAGATTCGACACAAGGAACCTTGAGGAGAAGCTGTCTGCACTGTGCAGGGCGTTCTGGTCAGGCAGGGCTCTGTCCTGTCTTCTGTCCAGCTGGGTATCGGTCACCTGCCTGGGGTGAGAGAACCCTGCGCTGTGGGACGCCGAGTGGTGAAACGCACCCCAGCTCTGGTGCTCACGGACCAGCACTTGAGTTTGAACTTCCTGCCTCACAGTGGCCAGTGAGGGGCCTTTAGGGAAGGTGTGCAAGCCCCCTCCCCCCACCAGTCCCAGCCCTGGTCTGCTGCACACCTGGCCCACCTGAGCCTGGAGCACATTCCCTCCGGGTGGGTGGTCTATGAAGGGCAGGGCAGGTGACCTTCCCAGCAGGCGCAGTACTTGTAACTACCCCGCTGGTGAGCGCAGGCCTGGCCTGGGACACACACAGCTATGAGCTTTGGCTCCTGGGAACCTGCTCCTCAGGCAGAATGTAAAACCACAGCCTCTCGTCTATGGATGAAAGGGATTCCCTTCATATATTTGTGCAGAACACACTGGCACCGTCACTGTCTTACTCTTAATGTACCAGCAAACGACAATTTGATTTCATGTTTGTATTCTTATCACAAAATCTTCCCTTTCAATCTTTTTTATTTCTCCATCTTCTATTTAAGGAAACCATGATCCAAAGAAGCCACTGGGACTGGAATAAGTGCTACGCGCTTATTCTAAATCCATTCCAAGGAGAAACCCAATATTTATGGGACCAAGCTCCTGAAGCAAAGTGTTTTAGCAAAATTAAATTAAAGTCATCTTCGCTTTTAAAAGACAAGCTCAGATTCTTCCCCCCCACTACCTCCTACCACCAAAGTGGTTTCAGGAACATTCTAAATTCTTTTTGCAATACAGAAAGATGCTTTTATTAGCGGTATAAATCCATCCTCTGTAACATGACTCCATGAGAGAGAAAATTAACTTGGTAATCAGTGGTAATTCTACCCAACTAATTTTTAGCATTGTGAAGTCGGGTTTACCTATTTTTAGTTGTATGGTGTGTTCGTAACGGTCAGAAGATGAGTTAAGTTCACTGAGAACCAACAGGAGGCTGACAGTTTAGAAAGCGCCTGTCAAGACACTGAGAGAGTTCAGGGGGGAAAGGAAAAGCACGTTGAAGGGTCCCGGCAGAGGACACAGGTTTTCACATAGTGGTCACTATTTTATGTCCCTTAGCAAACTGTCCTTAGACATACAACAGTCCTCTCACCACTGGTCTTTTATAAAACATCTATGCTCGTGTCATGTTGTACATAAAACCACAACTCATAACGGATATTAACCATGATGATTTCCTTGGCTTGAAAGTATAAAAAGAAACTGCATGGGAATGGCTAATAAGTTTTCAATATTATCTTTGTAAAATTTCTACAAGCAATAAAGAGGACATAATATTTTATCCAAAATGTCATTATCCTTTTAAATATATTTATTATGCCTTCCAGTCTCTGTTTATATATATATTTTAAGTAGCCAAAGTCCTAAATAATATAACTTTAGCAAACTTTATGGTACAGGCCTCAGTAGTCATAATGGTTTTAAATTTCTTTGTTATAAATGTTGAGTCAGATTCTTCTGCTCTTTTCCTCTCTTGCACAGTTAAAGCCCCAAAGCTCATAAAGCCAACGGGGCCCTTCCCGACCTGTGCACGGCCTCATCGCCTCCAGCTTCTATGCCACTCGGTGGTTCTCTCCCTGAATCCTCCTCCCCCAGGTGGGCTTGTGGCCCGCCCCCCACTTCCTCTAGGTCTATGCCTAATGCCACCACATCTATAAGCCTTTATTCACTACCTTTTCTTTTAAAAGATGTCAAGCTGCCAGAAAAGCCAAGGAATAGCATACAATGAACTACATTCTTCTACACAGATTTGTTAATTGATGTCATTTAGCCACATTTGCAAAAGCATATTTTAAAAATAAATTTGATTGTAAACCACCTATTTTAAGTGTGTGCATTAATAAATTTTGACAAAAGGAACGTCCTGTGCAAAACCATCGTAATCAAGAAACAGAACACTTTCATCGCCCCCAGAATTCCCTGTGCTCCTTCCAAGTCCATGTCCTCCATCCCCAGGGCCCTGGGCACACCCATCTGCTTTGTCTCATCGTAAGTGATGTGGCATTTCCTAGCATTTCATATTGCGGGACCATAAAAATAGGTAGACTTTAATCTGGCTTTCCCCCCACCGAGTAATGCTTCCTGAATTATGAATAACTCATCCATGTTGCTGAGAATATCAATAGTTCATCCATTTTTGTTGCTAAATATTATTCCAGTGTATGGATTACATGTTTGTCATTTCACCTGTTGGTGGACATGTGTGCTGTTTAGGAATGTAGTCATTTATGAATAAAATTTCTAATATCATTTTTGTGCAAGTCTTTTTTTTGGTGGGGAAATGTTTTCATTTTTCTTGGGTGAATAGCTAGGAGTGAGACTGCGGGGATGCAGGGGAAGGGTATGCTCGTAAGACACTGCCGACCCTAAAGCACACGTTTACAACACAGGATCTGTGAAACGGCATCGTCGAGATGCAGGTGAAAGCACACGACCGTTCAGGGAGCCTGCACCTTGCAGTGGTCGCCACGAAGACCCACCTGCTGCGCCGAGGCGAGGCGTCCACGGGAGCTGATGCTGCTGCCCCCTCTCCATGCAGCTGCTCTCTCAGGTGAGAGCGCCTGGGCAGGAGCAGAGGCCACCACGACGCACGCTGTTCGCCCATTTCCCGCCTCCCATAAACCTCCTCGAGAGCTTAGCTGCCTGAATGACCCTGTAATGTCTGGTGTGACTGTTCTTTCACTGACTGGAGAGCCAGAGGCCCCGAGTGCAAATGTGAAGACGCTGCATGGGCTTCAGGAGGCAGGCAGCCAGCGCGTCCCTGCAGGTGCTGGGAGGCCTGTGTGGGCTCCTCCCCTGGCCCCTCCTGCTCTGTCTCACTCTCCTCCCAGGTCCCCCCTCGTCCCTGCTTTCTGATGCACGTGCACACGTGTACGTGGAGGAGTCACACCCTCGACAGGTTTCTTCATCTCAGGCTTCTGCTCGCTGCTCTTCCCCCCTGCCAGACACAAAGGGAAAGGGTTGTTTCCTTCCATCGCTGGCGGAACCCTCTGTTCCTTCCATCGCTGGCGGAACCCTCTGTTCCTTCCATCGCTGACGGAACCCTCTGTTCCTTCCATCGCTGACGGAACCCTCTGTGCCTTCCATCGCTGACGGAACCCTCTGTGCCTTCCATCGCTGACGGAACCTTCTGTGCCTTCCATCGCTGGGGGAACCCTCTGTGCCTTCCATCGCTGACGGAACCTTCTGTGCCTTCCATCGCTGACGGAACCTTCTGTGCCTTCCATCGCTGGGGGAACCCTCTGTGCCTTCGATGGCTGAGGGAACCTTCTGTGCCTTCCATCGCTGACGGAACCTTCTGTGCCTTCCATCGCTGACGGAACCTTCTGTGCCTTCCATCGCTGATGGAACCCTCTGTGCCTTCCATCGCTGGGGGAACCCTCTGTGCCTTCCATCGCTGACGGAACCTTCTGTGCCTTCCATCGCTGACGGAACCTTCTGTGCCTTCCATCCCTGATGGAACCCTCTGTTCCTTCCATCGCTGGCGGAACCCTCTGTGCCGTCCATCGCTGGCGGAACCCTCTGTGCCTTCCATCGCTGGCGGAACCCTCTGTGCCGTCCATCGCTGGCGGAACCCTCTGTGCCGTCCATCGCTGGCGGAACCCTCTGTGCCTTCCATATGCAGTTTTCTTCCTGCAGCTACATTTTGCCACCGAGCATCTTCTGAGACTCGTTGAAGACGCAGGCCATGGTGGAGAATGTGCCACTGTGGTCAGCTTGATGCCGCACGGTCAGTCACACACGCCTCCTCGGGAGCTGCAGAGGCGCTGCTGGGCTCTCGCTGCGGCGTCAGGTGCTCAGACACTGGGTTTGTGCATCTGGTGATGTTCACTCTGACCCGCGACAAGGTGGTGTGAGCCAGGTTTGTCCACCATAAACGTACTCGTGCTTTGGAATGACCATTTTGTAGGGATGCTTTTTGTATGTTGGATATTAACCCCTTATCTACTTCCCTCATTTCTGAGGCTGTCTTTTCACTTTGTGATGGTCCCTTTGCTGTACAGATCCTTTCAGTGACACAGTCCCAGTTGTTGTTTGTTTGTTTGCTTTTGTGGCCTGTGCATTTGGTGTCATAGCCAAACCCACTGCCAGACCAACGTCATGGAGCTTTTCCCTTGTGTCTTCCTCCAGGATTTAAGTCTTCAATCCACCCTGACTTAATACCCTGGGGAGGTTTCATCACTGTGCACGTGGCCATCAAGCTTCCCCACTGCACTTGCTGAGATACCATCCTTCTCCCTCTGTGCAGTCTTGATGGTCAAGGGTTAGTTGAACACGCGTGGGTTTACTTCCTGGTTCTCTGTTCTGTTCTGTGGGTCTATTGGTCTGTTTTTAGGCTGCTTTTCTCTAATGTTATTTTTTTGAGGTTTCCACAGTGATTTATTGTTCATTACTTTAACAACGTTTACATGAAGACTGTTCACAATTAGACATCCTCAAACACTTTGCCAAAATGCTTGCTTTTTAAATAACACCGATGAACCGGTGGCAGCAGTTTCCCTTCCCGATGAGGCCTGTGGGTGTCGGTGGCCCGCCGATAAAAGGCCCTTTGACAAATGTTCTTGTCTCGGTTCTCCCGCCATCGTCTTGTCCAGCGCGTCCTGAAACCGGCTTCCGTATTCAAGCAGGTCCGGTGCCACCCCTTGTAGCTCCCGTTCATGTCGTGAGGAAGCTTCTTTGCCGGGTTGCCGCAGGAACAAGATGTCTGAGTAAATCACCACACGCCATCAGAAATGGTTTCCTGGAGTCTTTCCTCAGGCCCATCCTTGCTGAACACTGTGACTCTGTGTCCTATTCTAGAGGCAGTTCCCTCACAGCAGGTTTCTGGCACTGCGGTTACATCTACAGCTGTGCGTCAATACTGATCTGATTCATGGGAGCAGCTGCCGGCTTCCCCAAAGGCGGTGACGTGCTGTTCCCCATCCTCAAGGCCTCCCTGCGCGTGCTGCATCCCCACGAGGGCCGCAAGGTGCCAGATCATGGTCCGAGCGCGGGGCCCGTAGCGAATGGAGGGGACACAGGAAAACAGACCCGGGAGAGCCCGCCTCCAACGGTGGGCCCCTAGTTTTCTCTAAATTTCATCATTTCCTCCGTACGCAATCCCTGAGCTTAGCCCGTCCTTCCATATTTACTGGCTCCTTGAGGTGTAAAGTTGGGTAGTTTGAGACATGCAGGTCTTTATTGCTATAGACTTCCCTCCTAGCAATGCTTTCGCAGCATCCCATAGTTTGGGTGTATTATATTTCCATTTGACTCAGGTATGGTTTAATTTCTATTTTAATTTCTTGGCCCCATTTGTTTCTCATGAGTGTATTGTTTAATTTCCATGTATTTGTGAATTTCCCAGTTTTCATTCTGCCATTTATTTCTATTTTCATTCCACTGTGGTCAGAAAATACAGTTGGTGTGATATCAGCCTTCTTAAATGCACTGACGCATTTTGTGTTTCTGTGTGGATTTCTTTGGGTTCATCCTAGTTGGAGTCCATTGGACTTTTTGCATCTAGATATCCATTTCCTTCCCCAGACTGAGAAATTTTATGCTCTTATTTCTTTAAATACGCTTTCTGCCCTTCTCTCCCTCCCCCTCTCCCTCTCTCCCCTCCTCCTGTTGAGACTACCTTTATGCATGTATTGGTCGGGTGGTATTGCATAAGCCCTGTAAGCTTTTGTCACTCATTTTCACTCTTTTTTCGTTTAGTTCCGGTGACTGGGTAATTTCAAATGACTTGTCTCTAAGTTTACTGATTCTTTCCTCTGTAAGATCAAGTCTGCTCTTGAACTTGTCTGATTTTCCAGTTCAATTATTGTATTCTTCAGCCCCAAAATTTCTGTCTGATTCATTTTGAAAGGAGGAAACGAATACTGAGCCAATAAAATGAACTATTCTGTAAACCTTATTTGAATTTTCCAATCTTTTCACTCTTGTCCTTTTTCTGGTCTAAAATCCCACATTATATGTAACTGTCAGATCTTCTAAGTCTCCTCCAATCTGTGACAGTTCTCCGATCTTTCCTTGTCTTTCATGACATTGACACTTTTGAAAAGTATCCATCAGTTATTGCGTAGAATGCCCCTTACTTTGGGTTTGGAGACCTAGGTCTGACTCTTGGCTCTGTGATTTAAAACGATGTAGACCCTGGCAAGCCAACCCCTCTGGGACTCAAGTGTCCTTATCTGTAAAATGGGATAATAATACTGACTTTATGGTTTAAAAATTAAATGAGGCAATATATACATTAAAATGCCTGGAATACAAGGCCACACAACACTAAGTCTTTTCCCCTGGTCCCTGCTTTTTAACTATTTCTGATAGAATTTTGTGACAAAATGTCTTGCCCATATTTTAATGCCTTCTTTTATAGGTAAAACCGTATGTAATTTAGCCTCAAGTGATGAACCTGTGTCAGCACCATAAACAGCCACCGTTGTGTGTGCAACCAACAGTTCTATGTCTCCCTGTCAGGGTGCCTGCATATTGGGCTGCATCGTGCACTTTCTGAGTTTCAGCTGGAAACATGTGGGGACCCGTTTATTCACACGTACACGCATCCCCGATGCCCTGTGTGAGGGTCTTGGTGACAGTAATAGTCCTCGCTGACTTTATGGCTAGTGGGAGACGGGCTAGTAAAGGGGTCATTACAATTCAATGTGATTAGTTCTATGGGAGACGGATGCCGAGGCGAACGTCAGAAACCCTAGCTGGGCTTGGGGAAGGTTTCAGGAAGAAGGGGCCATTGTGTTCCAGCTCAGGTCTGCAGACTGTGTAGAAATTAACCAGATGGAGGAGGAAGGAGAGCAAAGGCATGCAGCTTAGAAAGAACTATTACAACTATGTGCTGAGTAGAAGGAAATCGGTTCTGAAGAATAAATCTCCCGCTGTGACTTACAGCGTGAGCGCGGGGCGTGCCAATACCCCAGGGACTCAGAAACCTCACCAGGAAATTTCTGGCCCAGGGCTGTGTTCTGGAGACATAAACCTTGGAATATTGCACTGAGCTGACCTGTTTCAACATCTGTGAACTGAAGTATAACTTAAGATTACAATCGGCTGCTTGTTCCCATTTCAAAAGTAAAACTGACAGAGGCATTACTTGCTTCAAAAAAAAAAAGTTAATGGCCGTCAAATATTCCTTTTTACGCTGGCCCGTCTGGTGAGCTGGCAGAGGTCTGCAGGCCTTCCCTGCTCTCCCTCCTGTAGCTCTCCCTCCTGGGGCCTCACAGGTTTGGCTTTGAGGCCAACGGACTCCAAACCCGTCTAACCATGTCAAGGTGTGGTCTCGGCAAGTGTTGCGGTGCATTACCTTCCCCTCCGAGCTCAGGGGAACCCAATACGAGATTTTCCAATGAAGAGGCTTCTCTGCTGGCCCGTCTGATTCTCCCATTCATCTCTACTTTGTTTCTCATCTGGAGAGCAGTGCATTCTTTTCCTTTTCTCCACAGGGAACACTTCTCAACCCGAACTACTTCCAACTCAAAGCAACAATATTACCTACCGTCAGCTGGTGTGTCAGGAGGTCCATCAGGAAGGTAATCTTGTTACTAAACAGAACGTCGGCGCAGTTTTCCGGGCAGTTGCTGCAGGTGAGGCTGTAAACGTTGATTGCGTTGCAGAGAGACCTAACGGGGAGAAAACACTCGCGTGAAACCTCAGCAGCTCTCCACACAATTAAAATACATACAATGACGGCACAAAGATCAGGCACGGACGGAACGCTCTAAAAAACAAGCCAAGTGTGAGGTGCAAGGCCCCCACTACACGTGAAAGGTTGTAACTTACACCCAAAGCCCCGTGTTCACGAGCACCGACGACAGGCCTCTTACTAATTCCTTATCTGCAGTAGGAGACCACGGAACACGCTCACCAGCGTATCTGATAATGTCTTCATAATCTAAGATCAGATAATACCCAGGAACTTTGGGTCCAAATGTCTTTGAATAACACCCAGAAAAAGGACCGGCCAAAGCGCCTGTTGCCTCTATTTAAAAAATTCTATTGGAGGTTTTTATTTTTCTTAATGATTTATGAGAATTCCCTCATTATAACTATAACAAAGGGTTAATATAGGTTCGTAATATTTTCTCCAGTTTACCTAATGCCTTTCATTTTACTTACATCATTTTTCAGGTATTTTTATGTATGAAAGCTACACAATTTTTTTCTTTAGAATTTCATTTTGTCTTCCCTTCCCTTTGTCCTTTAAAAACTTCTTCATTATGATACATTTGTATCCAGCCATTTGTATTCATTTTTCTTAAATTTTATCACCATATGTGGTAATTTTATGGTTTCATAATTCACTATCAAATCATTTAGAATTTACTTTGGCATGAGGCAGAAGCCTACATTTATTCCCCACATTAAAAACATTACTGAATAATCTACCTTCTCTCTACTGGTTTGAAAAGCCACCTTTATCATACTACACAGGATATACTCCCTGGCTCCTAGACTAAGTGATAACTGGCCAAGCACTGTGCCAGTATCATGTTGTTTGTGTGCTGTAGCTCCACAGTAAAATTAATGTATGAAACTGCAGATCCCTAAAGCCTTAAGAAGTGAGGTACTGCATTAGAATGACATGTGGAACTTTATAGCTTTATCATCGTATCCTATTTTCCCTTTGGTTTTGACCTATAATTTTATGGCCTTGGTTTTTAAATTTCTATTTCTCTGTTTCATTCCATTCAATCCCCAAAACTTGTCAAAAATCTTTTGTGGAATATCACAAGGCATAAACAGACACACAAACAGAAAAACGCAAACAACGCGTGGTGTGGGATTCTGTCCTCATCTAACGTGCTCTGTGCTTTCCATGGAAGGACACACTCAGCGGTAACCTGTGCAACGCCATGGGCCTCTCCATTCGCTTATGCTCACAAACTCTCCCAAGAAACTGCCACAAAGAAACTCCTTTCTGACGAGAAAAGAAGGGGCAACAATCGCAAGGTCAGGAAAGACCTGTCCACTCGGCTCTGTGTGAGGAGCACCTGTCTTAGAAAGGTCACTTCTGGGAGCCCAGCCTGGGTGGTCTGCCCGAGCCGCCCTGCCTGTAACCTAAGACTCCAAGGCCTGGAAGCAGTTTCTCTGACATCAGGCAGAAAGCCCAGATTTTAAAGTGTCTTCTCAGGGACGTTACAGTCTACTGTCCGTTCTGTCAGAAGTGATGTGCCTGGGCTGAGACAAAGGCTCTCTGCCCCCACTCATCAGGACACCACAGTGAGTCCCATGTCAGCTACGCCTTCTCCCTGAACAGCTTTCCTCTGAAAAGCAGAGGACAGGAAAGTCACCACAAAACCGGGTACTTCGGCCATAAGAACAGGAACACATTTAAATACGAAAAGGACAGTGCACCTCAGATACTGAGATGAGCACCTAAGACTTTATAAAACAGCTGAACAGAAAAGCCCAGGAAGTCGCAGCCAAGGCGGGTCCGCCAGGACAACGTCGTAAGCACGTGGCTTTCACGCAAGGCCGTCTGCAGCAGGTAAGACTTACCAGGAGACACTGTCCACCAAAACCCACCGTCTTACACTGATGTCAAGAGAACAGACATTTTAAAGCAACTGCCATGGGCGTTAAAAATCCAGAACCCCAATCACATTATAATTTTCCAAGCACCTTTGGTTTACATGAAGCATTTAATAAGTAGAATACAGTTTACCTGCATTATCATTCCTAAGTTATGTTTTGTCTTTGTAAAGCTCCAAACTAACTGGTATGGATACACTGGGTGCACCACGTGAGCTGGGCGGTCCTCCCAGAAGGGGCCTGGGGAAGGGCCGAGGGGCCCACCCTGCCACAGTCCCGCCTGCAGGGGAGGCGGGTTCCAGCTGCCCCACAGGCTCACCAGGACGCAGTCGTGCAGCTGGGCATTTTAAGTAATTTAATAGGCACGAGGAAGTCTCGTACTGCAGTTTTAATGTGTACTTCCTGATGATGTTGAGAGCTTTTCATATGCTTATGTGCCATCTGTGCATCTTCTTTGGTGAAGAATCTATTCAAATCTTTTGCACATTTATTAACTTTCAGTCTGTGATGGAACCGCAGCAGCTAAAACAGTTCCTGGTCATGGCAGCACTGAGCCCACACTGACTGGCAGGATGGAGGCACGATCCTCTCTCCCGCACCCACACGAGGTCACGTGGGAAGTTTGCAAACACGAAGGACAGCGTAGGATCTATCTCTGAGCTCATGTCTATACAAAGTAGAAAGACTCCAGTGTGTATTTTTGAACCAGTGAACCTCGAATGCTAAAACGACCTGGAGTCCTCACAGACGGCTACCAGAAGAGTGTGATCTGATTATGCTTATGAAGTTATTCGTCGCAGGAAGAAAAGTTTCCAGTGGAGTCTCATTTTCATCGTGTTCAATGGGTCTGCTGCAGCAAACAGATTTCAGATGTATAATACTGGTCAGAATAAAATATACTGAAAAAAGGAGAGAAAAATAGTACTTGACATGGAAAATGTATTTAAAAGAAGTTCTATATGTGGTCTTTCATATATGGGAATCTTTTAAAACTGTTATTATTTTATTTATAAAATTAGAAGATATTACATAGTACAATTATATGTGACAGAATTTGCTTGTTTCTCTGCAGTGGACATGAGACACCTGGTCAGTGTATGCTGTGGGTAAAGAGCACAATGCATATCGTGTTCTAAAATGTAACATTTTAATAATACCAAAATTAACTTTAAAATTAAACAGTTTTCATCATTATAAGGACACCACAGAGAAAGAAGTAAGAACTCTTCAACTAGATGAGTTATTTCAAGGGTTTTTGTTTAATTGGTGAATCTGGAACAATTGGAATAGGCAACTTAATTATTCCACAGAGACACATTCTGATTTTAGTTGGAAGATCATATATATTCTAAGCACCAACCTAACTAGCCTTTCTGTTCTTCCTAAAATTAACCTCCCCTTGAAATGTTATGTTTCAGAGATTATAATAATGGACTTAAAACTGTAGGGGAGCATAAAATTAAAACATTACTTTGAAACTCTAGTGTTGAACTCTGTTTTGTCTGATTACAAGGCAGTCATGGTCAGCATGCCTTCAGCTAGGTCTCAGCAGGACCTGGCCACGTAAGTGTGAATCCACATCAGCACGCCAGCTCTGGAGGAGACCCAGGTGGCTCGCAGTGCTGACCAGCAGGTTAAAGGCGACACGACGCATTTCTTTGCTTTAATCTCATTAGTGGCGCCGCAGCTGTCAACTGTGACCATCTCCGTGCAGCCTTTTCAGACATAAACCAAATGCCGCAATAAGTCAAATGGGAAGAGCATTTATCAATCACTATGGCTAATTAGCTTGCAAAACAGGTTTTTACTTTTATTGTGTAGGAGAACGCTATTTGCTTTTAGTAAGTCTTGATCTAAGAAGATATTTAAAATTATAGAATAATCCTGCCTACAAACGAGGACTTGTTTAACGCATGTTATTAACATGTGCCGGGGCCTTGGCATGGTGGATGTGAGGTGCATGTGGCTTCACTCCACAGCGTCCACATGCTCCTGATGGGCCGCCAGCCCAATGGCCCCTGACTCCGTCTCTGCCACCTGCTTTAGGTTCTAGAGGGCGTTTAAGGCAACAGGGAAACGCTGCAGTTCTTTCTCAGACTTCACTGCTAGTCTTCCTGGATCTTTCTGTCTCATACGTACAAGGAGTCTCAGTGGTTTGTGTTCACTTTCCCTTCTTGTAAGGACAACTCTTGTGGGTTAGAAAACGCACACAGATCTTTCCGCCATCGGTCCGTGCCGCCACAATGGTGCGCAGGAAGAGTGTCAACAATGCCAAAAAGAGAGGCAAGCACCAGGTTCTCATCAGGCCGTGCTCCAAAGTCCTCGTCCGGTTTCTGACTGTGATGATGAAGCATGGTTACATCGGCGAATGTGAAATTACTGATGACCACAGAGCTGGGAAAATTGTTGGGACCCTCACAGCAGGTTGAACAAGTGTGGAGTAATCAGCCCCGGATTTGATGTGCACCTCAAAGATCTAGAAAAATGGCAGAACGACTTGCTTCCGTCCCGGCAGTTTGGTTTCATTGTACTGACAACCTCAGCGGGCATCATGGACCATGAAGAAGCAAGACGAAAACACACAGGAGGGAAAATCCTGGGATTCTTTTTCTAGGGATGTAATACATATGTGGAAATAAAATGCCTCAAAGGAAAAAAGAAAGAAAGAAAGAAAATGCACACAGGCTGGAACTGCCCGGGTGGGCTCTGTGCACAGAAATGCCCGACCGAAGGGCACCCACACCTCTTTCATTCACCTCTACTTTGAGAGAACAGCAAACCCCAGACTCAGTACCAAAGAACTTCTGCACAGAAACGTCACCAAAGGCCACAGAAAGCAGACACAAATAAGCCAAGGTGGCAGGAAGTTCATGCCACACAGACAGCACTGTCCTGAACCAGGAAAGACGACTCCTGTCGCCTCACCTCTTAGGGCACTTCACAGTTCACAGGGACGCTCAGTGCATTCCAGCTGACCTGCACAACCAGCCGTGTGACCACGGGAGGAGACACGGCCACAGGGCTAAGGCACCGCCCAAATTCTCCCAGCGGGGAACTGGAGTCCAGCTTTGTCTGACGCTAGAGCTGGCGCTATTTCTGTTTTACCAAAACGTCTCTCAAGAAAAAGATAACATGGTTTGGGAATTTTTTTTTTCTGTTTTATCCCATGGACAAATGAAGCACTCACTTTTGTTGGGCTAACTAAATATTTAAAAGTTTTCTTCGTGATATAAATAAATTTTTATGAAAACTTCTCACTTAAACTCTGTGAGTACCCAGAAATTGTGCATGTTACAACTCAGGGATGCCAGACTTCTGAGGCAGAGCTCTGCTTCCACATCCCAGAGACCAAGGGGCTCTGGAGAGCAGGGGGCAGACCCAGGTCTCCGGCTGTGCAGGACCCTGATGGCCAAGAGCACTTTGCAGTCAAAGACCCAACTGCGCCTGCGTCCGTCCGAGCGACTGTCCGAGCGACGTGGCTGGGACTCTAGGTGACAGCAGTCTGGCCTCAGACGGTTTCCTGTGGCGAGGACTTGGCCTTCCTCCCTCGGGCTTTGTTCATGTGCTCACACCTTGTTCTGCAGGCAGCACAGGAAGCTGGCTTTCTCTACTGCTCTTCATTTTGGCTCCATTTCTGTCAGCAGTTACAACTGCCCAGGAGTTTACCAATTCCTCTTGATTTAGGGCTAGAGAAGGTCGTAGACCACAGAGATTTCCTTTTTATGGCTTCAGGCTCAATCTGCTTTTCTCCCTACAGGCAGTGTGAGCTTTTGCTCTTCAAGCCTGAACACACGTACCGTTTCCTCGTGGTCTCCCACATGGACACACAGGGCAGAAAGGACTCATAAACGGAAGGTGGAAGACAGATGAAGAGACTGTACTCACTTGGGAGGAATTCGTGAAACTGTGTTCACGTTCGCGGCTGGGACCACTCCTTGAAGAATGTGTTCAAGGGCTGTTAATCCGCCGGCAGCTTGAAATGCAATCTGATCGGCCACATTCTAGACAAGAACACAAACAGAAATTAGCTCAACTTCCCAGGCACAGAATGAGAACCACATGAAATATTTACTTGCAGTGGGACACATTCTGCTGGTTCAATTATTCTGCAAATATTTATTCAAGGCTAAGTAGGTCAAAAGTGGTGAGCACCAAGGACACGACTGCTGTCCCCCACGAAGCTTGAGATGTGGTGGGTGGGACAGCGCACATCCAGTGCCTATAAACAAGATGCTGTCGATGTGGTTAGTGCCTGGAGAAACGGGCACGCGCTTTAGGAGCACGAGGGGATGGCGGTCAGCACGGGTTCCGCTGACCACGTTGAGGCTGAAGTCAGGTGAGACAGGAGGGAAAGGAGCCAAGTGCTCCAGGCAGAGGGAGAACCATCTCATACAGAAGTTGTCACGAGACCCTGAAAAGGCAGATCATTCTGTAACAGTCATCACCACCCAACAAGGCAAGCTGCCTTCCACCAAGATTTCCTCTTCTAGAATTTTTCTTCAGTAATATCATCTAACATCTAACCACATAGCTATACCTTTTTTTTTTTAACCACTTCAGCCATTTTAGGAAGCATATTAAACCACTTTTGATTATTTCTGTGCATTTTCTGAATTGTTCACAGTGCTGGTGGGAAGAGGCTCCTCCAAGTTCTTGGCATCCCTCTGGCGTGCGGAAGGCAAGAGTGATCCTGGGGGCAGGTATGAGCTGTTCAGGCTGCACAGAGCCACTGCATCACATACGGACTGAGGAGGACAGCAACCCGTTATGGGCTGAATCGTGTCTTCCCTCCCAAACGCTTATGTTCAAGTCCCAACCCCTAGTCCCTCAGAACATAACTGTATCTGAGGATAAAGTCTTTTTTAAAAAAAATATATTTTATTGATTTTTCCACAGAGAGGAGGGGAGAGGGATAGAGAGTTAGAAACATTGATGAGAGAGAAACATAGATCAGCTGCCTCCTGCACACCCCCCACTGGGGATGTGCCCGCAACCATGGTACATGCCCTTGACCAGAATCGAACCTGGGACCCTTCAGTCCGCGGGCCGACGCTCTATCCACTGAGCCACACCGGTTAGGACGATAAAGTCTTTAAAGCAGTGACTAAGTTAAAGAGACGCTGTTAGGGTGGGTCCTACTCCAACAGGACCTGTGTTCTCACAGGGAGGGGAGCAGACACAGGGGGGCGCGTGCACAGAGAAGGCAGCCACTGACAGACCGAGCAGAGACGCCACGTGGCCCACGCTCTCAGGCCTCTGCACCGCACGCACCTCTCCGCCTCAGAGGGAACGATCCTCTTTCGCCCTCGGTGTCCCTACTGCGCCCGAGCTCCTGGGCGTCCTCACCAAAGCCTGGCGGCGAGGGCACAGTCTCAGGAAGTGCTCCACCTCTCCATGCTGCGGAGGCCGGGGTGGGGGGGGAGGGCAGCCCACGGACTGTCACGGGGTTTCCACGTGGAGACACAGGCAGTTACCCTCCGGTCTGGTCCCAGGACACACGCCCGATCCCTCTCTGGCATGAGCCTCGAACAAGAGCTCCTCACTGGAATGGAGTTTCATGCCCAAAGATGAAGGACATGTTCACCGTGAGCCTCCTTAGGAGCCGCGAGTCGAGCAGGGAGACAGGGACAGGTAAGGCTTCACACTGGAATGCAGTGCGACCGGGAATCACGTGCTTTCCAGCTAAAGCAAAGGCGCCTCGCCTCGGCCAGGCAGCGCTCCCACATGCGGCCTGCGCAGAGGGGACCCGCAGACTGCCTTCTGAGGCCTTTCCCACGCGGAGAGCGGCCAGCACGGCACGGGGAGGGCTGAGTGAAAGCAGACGCTCAATGTATACATCTCGCCTCCAAAACAAAACAAAACAAACCTCAAAGCTTTCATGCGGCTCCAGCAACATGGACGTGACCTCTTGAAAACTTAAGACACAGGCCCTCCAAGACATTAAGCAGGAAAAAAATCAGCCAATTTCAGGAGAGAAAGGCCATTCAAAGCCAGCCTTTTATTAATGTACTACTGAAAACTTAACATTTGCAGCTTTTCAAAGAAATAAAGCAAATAGCAAAATCAACTGTGAAATAAAACCTCACACATCGTCTGCCCCTGCAGCCGAGAGGGCTCTGGTGTGGGGAACGTGGGGTTAGAGATGCAACGAGCCACCCCACCCCTGGGCTCCCCGGTTCGCGGCCGGACAGAAACACTGCACAGTCCCCACCTCAGGGCCAACAGATGGACGGGGACTCAACAACAGGCGAACAAGTGAAAAGATTTCTCAGCAACGATGTCCTGTGAGGTGAGGCCGATGAGCAGGAGACACAGGCCTGTGAGCACGACAGGGAACCCCATCCCCTGTCTGCACAGGCGGACGCACAGTGCTCTACGTCCTGTGACGCTTCCACCTCAGGGGACAGAGAGGGAAAAGCAAGTGGGCTCCATGATGAGTTGTCCAAATGTTAAGTTAAACCACCTTCTTAAGCGTGTGGCATTGAATAGTCTACATGCAAAAGAGAGAAAAGGAGAAAAGGAGAAAGGGGACATCACTTCACAGCCCAGGAGGAAAGGGAGCGCTGGCCCTGTGCTTCCCTTCCCGTCTATCGCACCCCAGACGTCTCCTGCCCATCACTGCTCTCTCTCTGCCTGGATGCCTGAATGCTCCCAGGAGTCAGGATGCGCCTCAAATGCGTCGCCTTGTGCGTGTCCCCCTCCCGTGAGTGGCTAGGAAAAAAGCAAGTACGCTAAGAACGCTGAACCACAGTTATTCTCCCCACCCACACTGCCACCTGCTCAGCCTTCTCAGCGTGTCATGGTCACATGCCCTCAGTCCTGTGAGACCCGACTCCTTCCCGACCCCTCAGCCAGTCAGGTCTCTGCATGAAACTGCCCGTCCCAACGCCCTCCCCACTTCCTACTCATCCAGACGCGTGTGTGTCCACGCCCCGCACTGGAAGGCCCCACTCCCCTCTGCGTCCTCCCCGAGGGCAAGCTCAGGACGCACATGGCCCAGGCGCCCAGCAGGCTGCTCCAGGAATGAGAAGATCTCCTCTGGAAAGGGGACCTTTCCTTCCTCCTCCTACCCTTTTCCAAACACTCTGCACTCAGGCCCGTGAAACGGGAGCTTCCATAAGGGCGTCACCATTCGTATTCGAGTGAGGAAAACACCTCTGCAGGGAAATGTGTGGCTTCGCTAGGTCCCTGGCAGAACATGACAGCTCTGCCTTCCACCCCGTGACACTGACACTGACTAACAGGATTAGCAGCCGCACCCCAATAACCCAGCTCAGCTACCGGCCAGCACAGAATGACAGCTCCACTCTCCACTGCACGTCCTGGGCACCCATTCAATTATGAACTGGAGTGACTGTTATTGCCTCTTCCAATCAAGAGAGGCAGCTGTTACTCTGTGGTGGCCCAGAGGCTGTGGCCTTTGTGCCTGGCTTCCCTGCAGACGTAACTGCGCTTTGTGATGAGGGAGGAGGCCCCCAGCCCGTTGGCGGCGGCAGACGGGGAAGAGGGCAGGTTCCGCAGCAGGAGAGGAGGGATCTGTTCCGAGCGTCTGGTGGCACCTTAAGGCCTGTTTGGAGATCGAGTTGGTTTTAGCAAATCTGTAAGTTCAGAACTGAGATGAGACGATCCAGGAGTGAATGTTTTTATGGTTGGTTTTCCCACGTGGGAAACCCTCCTAACACTTACAGGACCTCGTCTCTACAAGTCTGCTCTCTTCACCTGCTGTCAGCCTACGAGAAGCAAGCAGCGCAGGCTGACTGCTCTGTCGATGGCTTTCCCACCATCTACACACAGTCTGGCCTCCGCTTTTAAGCTGCAGACACTCGCACTTGGAAGGACTCAGGTCCCGGGGTCAAGGATGTCACAGGACATTATCAACTCGTGGGAATGTGGTTCCCCAGAGTCAAGTCATAACCCAGTTTGCAGGCTTAGGAATAAGGTACGTGGGGCTGAGGGAGGCGGGAAAGGCTTTCTCAGGAGGAGAGGGCAGCCCTTGCGATGCTGACCAGAACGCAGGCCCTTTGGAAGGCTGCCCTGAGGGAGCTGCTGGTCCGTGTGGACCTGTTTGGACTGAGAGAAGGCAGAGCGGGGGGGGGGGGGGGGGACACAGACCTACATGCTGGTTCCTTCTCTTTAAGCCATTATGCGGCAGGTGACCCAAGGCCCATGTACAGTTAACACAATAGAATGCACAGTCAATGTATTTTGATCTCCGCCATCCTCAGGCTCCACAAAGCTGCCCTGTGGTGGCCAGGCGGGCACTCAGCAGGGGTGGGAACCTCTTTTCTGCCCAGGGCCTTTTGAATACTTATGACATCATTCTTGGGCCATACAAAATGTTCAACTTAAAAATTAGTCTGCTATATTTGGTCAAACATTTACTCACCCCTAATGCCTTGGCAGGGCCAGACCAAGTGATTTCTCAGGCCGTATACGGCCCTCGGGCCAGATGTTCCCACCCCTGACTTAGAGCGAGAGAGTGAGAGTGAGAGAAAGAGAGAGAGAAACGCAGTGTGTGAGACAAGTACACGCTGAGGGGCGCGCTAGGAGCCGCGTGCAGCTGAGGAAGTGGATCCTGCGACAGTTCTTCAGGACACAATGAGTGCAACATGGAGGGTTTCTATCAGATTAAAAGACAAAGGACCTTCAACTTCTTCATTCTCCCCCTTCCCCCACTTGCTGGCCATGGGTTACGGGTTACGCAGCCTGGAGGGTCTCACACAGCAGTGCCCTTTCCTCCTTGTTCCTGCATATTCTAAAGTTGGGCCATGAGACCCAGGAGAAGGCGTTTCAGGCAGGACACGCTGGGGCCAAAAGCCAGCACCACGGACAGATCCCGGTGGGTCCAGGCTCCCAGGGCAGCACCCAGCTCAGAGGCCCCTCTCCTCCAGCACTGCTCCCCTCCCTCAGAGCCCAGGCAGTTCTGGATCGAGTCCTCAGTTAGTTAACTGTAAACCCCATTGTACTGATTATCTCGTTGCTAGTTTACGAAGTGCACGGC